CCTTGTGTCACGAAATCAAGGCTCAGATCCAATTGCGAGTGTAGAAAAAAACAGTTTATTATGAATTCTCCGAATGTAGAAACAAACAGGAGATCCAGATATCCCGAGAGAGATGTCCAAGCTCGTAGAAACAAAGTCTGAGAGCAGAAGTCTGGACAATGGGAAACAAAAGGACCGGAGCACGATCACAGAGAACACACTAGGAGTCTAGGAGAGAACAAACAGTGGTGAGCGAGACAACGAACTGACAAAGGACTGTGAAAGAGCGAGCCAGATAAAGGCAGCCCAGATAGGCTTCAGGTGAACACCTGATTAGGAGGCGGGGTTACCAGACGCAGCAGACAACCACGCAACACACACACATAGGAATGAGCACACGGACCCACAAACTGTGACACCTTGTTGATCCTGGAACAACATTCCTATCAACCAATCAGAATTGAGGGACAACTTTTCAGAAAATATCTGTTTTAGGCTTACAATCAGGGTTAGGTGCTTCTACACCCTTGTTAATCAGCTTTCATATCACGCTGTTTTTAGGAATAAATTATGGGTAGGGTTAGGTTTAGGGGTAGGGATTGGGTTAAGTCTATATTTTTGGACAGTTATGTTGATGACAAAAGTTGTTGATCCAGGAACATGTCTTACTTGGCAAAATCACGGCGACCGTTAGAGGGTCAAGTAAAGATGGAAGAGATGTGTTTTTAGCCGATTCTTGAAGATGGAAGTATTTTCATTATACTTTTACTTTTTACTTGTGATTGACTGTTCTCTTAAACATCCATGTTTCTCCTAGACCTCCTGGACTGTGACATAAATGCAAGGCTATTAACTATGAAAAAATACATGTGCCTCCCATGTATCCCACCCTAGCTGTGCTTGCCCCATTTCATGAGGTCATTAAATATTTTTAGTCTTCACGTTATATTCACTATATTTAACCTTTTACACTGTCACCCTTAACACACATACACCGTAGTGTAACCACAGTGACAGTGAAAGCCACAAACAAACACAAGCAGTCAAAGGCCTCAGCAGGCATTTCCTACTCGCCTATAAAATCTCACTCGCTCTCTCTTGCCTGTAGCCCACAGTGTAATGCGGATCATACCGTTCCTTACAGCTCAAATTTCCAGTCCGTACCCTTGCAAGGGGTGTGTTTGTCCCAGGCTGTTTCCCAGCATAGTGTTTTATCCAGAACACAGAACTCAAATTCAGCATCTCCTTGATTAGCAGTTCAACAAAACATGAAGACCCAATGCACTGAACACTGGGCAGCTTTCACCGGTTAGATTTAAAGTTTTCTAAAAAATAATCAAAAGGGATAAAACCTGCTCTGAGCTCAGTGGCTCTACAGCTCTACAGCTGTGTACAGTTGCGTCACCTGTTTAGACTAGTTTTAAAAGTAAGTCATCTATTTTTTTATTTTTGTATTTGTATTCTTTTCTTCTTTGGTCACACTTTAGTTTGGGATCCAGTTCTCACTATTAACTCCCTCTTAGCTATCACGTTTGTCTCGATAAACTCCTAATTTGCTGCTTATCAATAGTAAGGTAGTTGTTGGGTTTAGGTATTGGGGGGATGAAGGAATCTAAAATATGGTCATGCAGAATAACGCGGTAATATGTGCTTTATAAGCACTAATGAACATGCAATATGCTAGTAATATGCATGCTAATAAGCGACTAGTTAACAGTGAGAACTGGTCCCTAAACTAAAGTGTTATCTTTTTATTTGTTCTTCAAGACTCTACTCAAGATTCTAATTTGAATTGGAAAAGTAAAAGTGTTTACCACTTGTTTAACTGCTGTTTGTTGGTCAAACTAGTTTTTAAGACACAGTCCTAACATAGTGGCCATGTTTATGCAACTGGCCCAATGTTTACAGCCCAGATTTAGTTTGTCAAGTAACGATTTGGCTGCCCCAGCAATAATGCTGAATTGACCTTTAGTTGTATTTCCACAGTAAGCCTGTCAAATTAAACATGCAGGCCAGTTCATTTTCCAAGACATTTGACATCTGAGTATAAAACACAGCTGACGCTTCAGTAAGAGCTGTTTACAGCAAAACGAGACTTCGGTTCACTTCACTTCACTGAGAAACATGAATCAGTATATTAAAAGAAAGCTACATCTTTCAATGGTTTCCTTCACAAGCTATACACAGATTCAACTTTACAGCAAACAAATGGAGGTTGTCTTGTGCTGTCTAATCACTCTTTTACAGCCAACCTTCATTATCTGTATATTTTTGGGGGTTTATATTAGCAATTCAGGCATGTTGCCTGGTATCAGACTTAGTTAGCATGAACTTGACTTGATTTGTTGAAGTTTTGACACTGGTTACAGCCGTACTGCAAAACATATGTTCACTGTATGATGGTAAAGCACCCACAGTTTTTTTTGCATAGCAACATTCTGTCTTGTCTACATTCTAGCAGAAGTATGGCAATGGATTTTGCACCCAATCTACTATGCATTGTACCTACCAATGCACTTTAGAGCAGTGTGAGTTGGTGCCGTGACCCAGATGCGAGTGAGGTTTAGGGGGGTCTTTAGCATCCTTGTTAGTAAGCCCAACTCCAATGCCAATGGTTCAAACACCATTCAAAGTGGTGCAAGTATGGCCAGTTACATATACACACAATATCCCGGAAAGTTATTTCGGAAACACTTTATTTTGATAATCCACTTTAGACTTTCTACTAACAGTCAGTAACTTTCTCACTACATGCCAACTAGCAGTCATTAGAGTATTAGTAGACTGTCTGCTTAATATCTTCTAACACTTTATTTTGATGGGTCCACAACATACGACATACTGACTATGAGAAACTCTGCAAGTATATGTCAACTTATTCTACTAACCCTAAACCTAACCTAACAGTGTACTCTGAGAGTTAGTAGACATGTAGTTGCAAATGAATGAGAATTAGTTCACATGTAGTTGCAGAGTTACGTATAGTTAGTAGAATGTCTAAAGTGGACTATCAAAATAAAGTGTAACCATTATTTCTACCCAACTGCAACCCTATTTGGCCAGCAACAACTCTGGCTGTAGGCGGGGCATAAGTTTAGGGACCATATTCCATGGTGTAATCTGATGGTGACAATGCCTTTTAAGCATTAAAAACTATTAATAAGTATTAAAGTCTCTCCAACAACAGTGTGGTTGTGCTTCAGAGGACCTGTGTTTGAACCCTGCTTGACAGAAAGACAGACAGATGCAGGATGCAAGGACACTCCAATCACTATGTGTACAAAATATGGTGACAATGTTTTTTTTTTGTTTGTTTGTTTTTTCCTTTTTGCACAAAGCCTTGAAATAGAGGATTTTTAACAATGAAAAGACTGGCAAGAATCCAGTCCAGTAATTATTTCATTTTCTTATTACAGAAAATTAGATAAGGGAGCCTAGGGTAGGTTGGCACAGGGTTCATTTCTGGTTCATTTCCTAATATGTTGTATTCACAAAAACATAACATCTGAATGCTTAAAAAATGTGTTGAGCTCAGGACAGTTTTTACACAGGAACTACATTTTTTTCACAGGAACTACATAGTTTTAAACAGGATACTACATGTTCTAAATATAAGAATATAAAAATGTGTGCAGTAGAGGGTTAACAAACTTTTGAAGCTAATAACTTCTTGTTATCAGTTTTCACTGTAAATAACCATCTATTTTCATTCCCTGCTGTCTGAATTTGACTTTGTAATTCCCATAGGCAGTAGGTACTTATCTAATGTCTGATTCAGATGTTGTTGTCTTGAGAGGAGCTTTGCAGTAAGTGCAGGATAAACAAAAACAGAATGCCTCTGGCAGCAGACTGAAGTCACATGTTTTGAATGCCAGTGAGTTAAGTTTGCATAAATGCTAGTATGTCAGCTGGGTTTTAAAATCCACATGTGGGTGTGTCGTTGGGTTTTAGAAGAAACCCCTTCCCTCCCACTTCAGCGAGCACACCCATGCCGCTTCCAGCTCGGCTCTGCCTGCAGCTCAAAGAGTTCAAAGGCTGTCAAGGGCCTGTGGGTTTTGCCATATGATAAGAGACTGCATCAAAGCTGGGAAACACTAGCAGGCTTATTCTATTTACAATGCTCAGAGAGGCAGTTCTGCATCATCCCTAGCATTCTACTGCTATAACCCTTTCAAATGCATCCCTTGGCAATGAGAAATTGGCTGAAAACTCAGCTGCCATTACACTAACACATAACTGATTGTGTATGGTTGTAAACTTGTTTCACAGCAACCTGCCCGGTTATTTGTTACGAATTAAAATTGACACTAAACAAACAGTAAAAGGTAAAGCATCTCGCATAATGCCTCATAGATAAATATAGCTTATGCAACACCACACACGCGAGGCAGAGCCAACACAAGGCGTTAGGTACACAACACTCATGTAACACTCCCCGGCCCTGGGGGTAACATTAATAAGAGTCAGTCAAGTATATTATCATTTATACAGTCAAATTATTTTGTGATAAATATTATACATAATTTACTCTACATTTGCCACTGTGCAGACATACAGACACTGCCCTAATTAATTTAAATATTCTAAAAACTACAGTATATGTGTCATATATTAGAATGTATTATGCATAATCTTAAATAAGAGTAGAATTAAGTAATGAGTAGAATTAATTTCACATATTTACATATAGCTCAGCCATCACATAGTCGTTGTGCTGAAATATTGTTTAATTCCTGTACACCTGTTGCCTTTCTGACCATGAACTTTTCAGCAGCAAATACGTCAACATTTGTTTTTTCCATCTTCATTGACAATGGACCCTGTTCCGCCCCAAACATGTGTTGAAACTAAAAGTCTAATTCAACTCAGCTACACACTGCATACAGCAAAAGAAAAACTTTTCAGGTTAAATGGAGTCACTGTCAGTCCTGAAGGAAGAAACCCACACAATAATTCCCTTGCTGTAGCCACTCGCGTTTCCATTCTATAGCCTGGGGCTTTTCGGCCATTTGGCTACTTACCTTTCCCAAGGTCCTGTGTGGTTCTTCCAAAGCCATGTGTGTGCTTGTGTTGAAGGCTTGGATGGATAGAGACTGCTATACTGGCATTCATGCCCTCCGTGTTCAGCTTGACATGAGTGAGAGTGTGTAGTGTCGTGATAACTCTCGAATGCTGTAGGCTTCCATTTATAGAGCCAAGAAAGCCTCAAATAGACTGCAGACAGCAGGGAGCCCATGACAACAGCAATTACAGCCAAATCATTGCTGTCCATGATGACTGGACAATCTTATTGGAAGTACTGCTTTTTCACTATGGTTAATAAAATGTTAAAGTGTGCAGCTAGTTGTATAATTTCAGGTAATAAAAACACTAACAATAAAAAGAATAGACAATAAATTATAAATAACAATACAGTAATAAAATATAGAGAAAAATAAAAATGTTAATAAACAGAATTGTGAATGTGCATATGTGCTATTTACAGAGGAATGTTTTGATGAGTTATTTACAGATGTACAGTACTGAGGTTTGTTATGTGTTGTTCAAGTGGGATATGGCCTGGGGGGAAAACTGTTCTTGTATCTGGCTGTTTTGGTGCTCAGTGCTCTGTAGCACCAGCCAGAGGGCAACAGTTCAAAGAGAAAGTGTGTTGGGTGTGAGGGGTATAGAGTGATTTTCTAAGCCCTTTTATTCACTCTAGAAGTGTAAAGATCTTGGAGGTTGGGCAGGGGGGCACCAATAATTCTCTCAGCAGTCCTGACTGTCCGTTGTAGTCTTCTGATTTCTGATTTGGTAGCTGAGCCAAACCAAACAGTTATAGATGAACACAGGTGTGGTGTCTTCTGCTTCTCATCTTAGGAACCACACTCAGTCTTGTTTTTGATGCCAGGAGATACACTTTATTACATCATCAATGATAATAAATAATAAAGCGGAGATGGCTCTCTCTGCAGCGAAAACACAGCTCCAGAATGATCATCTTGTCTTCTTTTTATACAGTTCGATTTGGAGGCGTGGGGTAAATATTCCATACAGTTTTTCCTGTGGCAGGTTGAACTTCCTCAGCTGGCGGAGGAAATACAGCCTCACCTAGGCCTTTTTCACAATAGAGTCGATGTGATTGTCCCATTTCAGGTCCTGAGAGATGGTAGTACCCAGGAACCTGAAAGACTACACTGCAACCACAACATAATTACTGCTCAACACATAGTGTATTTGCATTACTGTAAGGGTAGGTTTAGGGTTGAGGTAGGTGTAGACGTTAATAAACCATAATCAGACAGGTAGCATTTTTTGTTGTAAAATTGTGCTACCTACTGTTCCCTTTCAGTCGGTCACTATGAGTCACATGACCAAAGAATTGGGATCTCGCTTAGGGAGACCAATCCACTTTGAGTGTAAACTAAACGAGCCAATGCACATTGGCATGCGACAATTGCATCCAGCTGCCGCTGATCTCAGCGTGAGCATAAAAAGGTAGCCGGTGCAATGCATACCAGCTTTTCACTTTGGTATCGCTGCGTCACGTGTCTGGGCATTAAACACGCTGAGGTGGCGTTCGAGGATGAGTCATGTTCCCATTGCGGGAAGATGACCATCTCTGTGCTGTGGGCCAGTCTCCATTTCCTCCAGTGGGGTGGAGCTCCGTTGCCTCTGCCGCAATCTAGTGTTCGTCTTGGTGGCAGCCAGGCGTGGACTACTTCGGGCAGTAGCACAGGCGGACTGAGGGTTACAGTGGTGGCAAACCCTTAAGGCAGGGGTAGGCAAGTTCGGTCCTAGAGAGCCGCAGTCCTGCAAAGTTCAGCTCCGACCCTGAAAAAAAACCTCACCTGCCTATAGCCTTAGTAATCCTGAAGACATTGATTAGCTTGTTCAGGTGTGTTTGATTAGGGTTGGAGCTGAACTCTGCAGGACTGCGGCTCTCGAGGACCAAACTTGCCTACCCCTGCCCTAAGGGAACCAACCCTTGGAGGACCATCACTCCTCTAGCGCTTCGCAACCAATCAAGCCGCCAAAGGACCCTTGGCCCTCTTCAAAGTGCTTACCAGCGATATCCTTCGGTGCTCCTCCCGACGACCGGATGTCGATCACTGCATCGGAGGGAGAGCTTTCTGGAGGGGAAGATCCGGCGGAGCTGCCGCCCTCCGGGACGGTGGAAAGGTCTGAATCAGATCCAGAGATGTCGGCTATGCTTTCCCGGGCCGCTGAGAGGGTAGGGTCGAGTGGAAACAGAAACCTCCATGGAGCTAACCAGCTCATGGATGGCACCTTTTACTGCCGGAAACCGACCTGCTGGTTCCTCCTCCCTCACCATCCTCATTGGGGGTGCAGCAAGGGGGTATACGGCGATCCCCCCGGTGCAGTTGTGTCCTAAGACCGCCTCCTCCTGGCAGGGTAACCCGTCACTCCCCTCCCAGGTCTGTAGGCATTTGTCTGGTCTGACAGGCAGTGCTTATACAGCTTGTGGAGAAGCTGCCTCTGCCTTACACGCTATGGCGTTACTGCAGGTTTATCAGGCCAAGGTACTGAAGAACCTGCATAAAGGTAGTCATGATCTGTAAGTTCTGAAATAGCTCAGAACCACTACTGACCTCGCGCGTCGAATGACGAAGGTCACTACGAGTTCTCTGGGTCATGCGATGTCCACACATGTGGTCTAGGAGCGCCATCTCTGGCTGTGTCTGGTCGACATGAGGGACGCCGACAAAGTTCCGTTCCTTAATGTCCCTGTGTCCCAGACCGGCCTGGCAGGGTAACCCGTCGCTCTCCCCCCAGGTCTGTAGGCAGTCGTCTGGTCTGACCAGCTGTGCTTATACGGCTTGTGGAGAAGCTGCCTCCACCTTACACGCTATGGCGTCACGGCAGGGTCATCAGGCCAAGGCACCGAACAGGTCTGTAGGCAGTCGTCTGGTCTGACCAGCTGTGCTTATACGGCTTGTGGAGAAGCTGCCTCCACCTTACACGCTATGGCGTCACGGCAGGTTCATCAGGCCAAGGCACTGAAGAACCTGCATGAGGGTGGTCACGATCTGGAAGTTCTGAAAGCGCTCCCAAGCGCTACTGACCTCGCGCTCCGAGCGATGAAGGTCACCGTGAGTTCTCTGGGTCGTGGTGGGGTCGAGTTTTCTTGAGGTCCAGGAGCACCATCTCTGGCTGTGTCTGGTCGACATGAGGGACGCCGACAAAGTTCCGTTCCTTAATGTCCCTGTGTCCCAGACCGGCCTCTTCAGCGACGCGGTCGAGAGCTTTGCCCAACAGTTCTCGGCTGCACATAAGCAGACTGAGGCGATTCGTCACATCCTGCCCCGGCGGGCAGCTGCTGCCTCCACCCATCCGCCGTCCGCAGCGCCCCAGCCTGCTCTTCGCCACATCCGCCCCAGCCTGCTCTTCGCCACATCCGCAGCAGCCTCGAGTGAGCGGCGCCTTGGAACTGGGTGTAGGCAGGCCGCCCCACCCGTCCAGGCCCCCGTCAAACCTGGTGGTGAGCAGAAGAGCATAAGGCCCCAGGACAGGTGACCCAGAGAGGGAGGAAGCTACTCTTTGGGGAACGGTGAATGCACCTCTCCCTCCCCCAGAGGACAGCCGGGTGGAGAATCTAGAATATCTCGATGAGAGTCTCGGAGGGGGTTCTTATTCTTCAGAGAGCAGGGTATTCGCATCCTCAACTATCTCGACGATTGGCTTATACTAGCACAGTCTCGGGATCAGTTGTGCGAGCAAAGAGACCTGGTGCTCCGGCACCTCACCCAGTTGGGTCTTCGGGTCAACTGGGAAAAAAGCAAACTCTCCCCGACGCAGAGGATCTCTTTTCTCGGTGGAGGAGAGCCGGGTGGAGAATCTAGAATATCTCGATGAGAGTCTCGGAGGGGGTTCTTATTCCTCAGAGAGCAGGGTATTCGCATCCTCAACTATCTCGACGATTGGCTTATACTAGCACAGTCTCGGGATCAGTTGTGCGAGCACAGAGACCTGGTGCTCCGGCACCTCAGCCAGTTGGGTCTTCGGGTCAACTGGGAAAAAAGCAAACTCTCCCCGACGCAGAGGATCTCTTTTCTCGGTATGGAGTTGGATTTGGTCGAACAGACAGCACGCCTCATAGATGAACGTGCGCGGTCGGTGCTGAACTGCTTGAATTCATCCAAGGTCAGGACAGCGGCCCCACTGAAACTATTTCAGAGGCTCCTGGGGCATATGGTAGCTGCAGCAGCAGTTACGCCGCTGGGGCTGCTTCATATGAGGCTGCTTCAGCACTGACTTCATGGCCGAGTCCTGAGGTGGGCGTGGCAGCGCGGCACTCACCGGGTCCAAGTTACACCGGCCTGTCGCCAAACCTTCATCCCATGGTCAGACCTTACGTTTCTCCGGGCAGGAATGCCCCTAGAACAGAACTCCAGGCTTGCTGTGGTTTACACGGATGCCTCCACCACTGGCTGGGGGGGCCACGTACAACGGGCACGCAGTGTCGGGGTGTGGATGGGCCCCCGCAACTGGACTGGCATATCAGTTGCCTAGAGTTGTTAGCGGTGTGCCTTGCCTTGAACCGTCTCAAAGGGCGCTTACGAGGCAAGCACATGCTGGTCCGAACGGTCAACATGGCGACCGTTGCGTACATCAACCGACAAGGTGGTCTGAGCTCCCGTCACATGTCGCAACTCGCCCGCCACCTCCTCCTTTGGAGTCGGAAGGTGCTGAGGTCACTTCGTGCCATTCACATTCTGCTCAACCGTACGGCCGACGAGCTGTCACGAGCTACGCTCCCGGTAAAATGGAGACTCCTTCCCCAGATGGTCCAGCTGATTTGGAGATGTTTCGGAGCCACTCAGGTAGACCGGTTTGCCTCTCCAGAAACCTCTCACTGCCAGTTGTTCTACTCCCTGACCGAGGGAACACTCGGCACGGATGCAAAATGCGTTTCCCCCAGTGAGCGTTCTCGCACAGACGCTGTGCAAGGTCAGGGAGGACCAGGAGCAGGTCCTTCTTGTGGCGCCGTATTGGCCCACTCGTACCTGGTTCCCCGAACTAATGCTCCTCGCTACAGCCCCTCCCTGGCAGATTCACCTGAGGAAGGATCTACTTACTCAGAGATGGGGCATCCTGTGTCACCCAAGTCCAGACCTCTGGAAACTTCATGTCTGGTCCCAGGACGGGACG